AATGCTGCAAGTGTATAAGAATTTGATTATAAAAGGTAAACGTTAGTAAAAATGATAATTTAAACTCCGTTTTGTTAAGGAATTAAGATGTATGTCCGCTCTCATAAACTTTATTTTATTATTATGTCTCACACTTTATTTTCTATATTAACAAATGCTTCTCACTTGGCGATAAAGTGACGCATAAGGTAAATGAAATGGAAAGAAAAAATATAAAAATATATTTTTCGTTGAAGCTAATAACTCATATGCAATGGTGTCGCATATATGGCAGCTAGAAGCGGGAGCTACAGCTTTTTAAGCACAGCGAATTGCAATTAATAAGTCACTAATAAATTTTCTGTATGTTTAGGGGGCCTGTTATATTGAGACTTAATTTAATGCATAAATACACATACAAACATAAATATGTACGAACATATTAACACTGATATTAAACAGTAATATGATGCTACTTTAAAGGCTAGTCCAACGCTAAGTGCTATAAAGGTTTTGCCTACCAATTATTATATTTTCTTTCGACAATTATTTCGGCAAAGCAACATGCATATGTATCAGTTTTTGAAGATGTGTATGTGTACACGCGATAGCAGTCACGCGCCGTAGCCTTATTGCAAGCTGCTTGCTTTGTTCTTTTTGCCGTCACGTCACTTGGTGATTTTCATTTAGCTGGCTCAATATGGTCGTCATGACACTTAATTAAGTCACTTTGATGCATGGCAAACATATGTCATAGCAATTTTGAATTTTGTTTCAGGCTCCCAGGCGCAGATGGGCGCAGATGGTCGTTTGTTGTGTAAGTTAATAAATTCAGTTAACTGTTATTTACACTATACTTATTATTTAGCTAAATTAATTTAGTTATATACATATGTGCGCCAAAATATCTCACGAACTTTTCTTCCACTTCCTTTAGCCATAAGTGTACTGTTTTAAATATATTGCTTTTTTGAATCTTAAATCTTAAACTATATACAACACATACACTAACCGACAATGTCGAGACTTGCTAGAAAATATATGGGAGTTCATTTAGTATCGGCTCAATTATATATATATAATGTTAACTATTACAGAGGGGCAGACAGTCATTAAGATTTCAATTCGTTTCGTCATCTTGATGCTTTGTATACATTGAGTAGTCGAATAGTATTTTATCAATAACTGTATATCTCCAGTGCTACCAATCACACTGTGTCATACCATATAGTGTTGGAAAGGTGAGGTTTGCAAAGGTCCACAAAATCATAAACGTGTCACTGTGACTTTAAGATCGAAAGCACCGACTATATCCATGCAATAAAGAGCTACGTCCTTACTATAAAAAACTGAACAAAAATTTCAAAATTGTGCCGATTTTCAAAAACCTGCAATAATATAAGTGCTAGCTGGATATCTATCGCAAGATGATGTGGTTTGTTAAGCTCAGAACCAATTCAATTTGGTCAAGAGAGAAGCACTCATTTAAACCGCAAAGACAATACGGTATACAATCCTGTTGTTCTCCTGATAATTAGATAAATAAAGCAGCATGCAGATATCGGAATATACCTAAGCCAAATAAAAGTGTCTACGAGCCTGCAACAGGTTTCATACAAAAGCTCTAATTGCAATAAAGTGATTTTCGATGTTCACAAGAAAGCAATTCAGATGAAGCTTCAAGAGTAATAAGAAATGCTTTAGATCTGCAAATATTAAGTGTAAAAAACTTCGTGTAATTATAATCGAAAGGGCCTGAAAATCTGATCGGCGATACGTTGTCTTTTCACGTGAACAACAATTTGATTTGGAACCGTCTGATAGATACCATTTTTATTTCCATGATCTTCGGAAGAAGAAAAATTACATGTACTATAAGTCAGTTTAGTTCACCCAACGGTTGGTTGTATCACCTAAAAACACAATAGTTATATAACATATGGTTTTTATAAATGATCAGAATGACGAGACAAGTTAATGACTGTTTGTCCGTCCGTGCCAGCGATAACTTGAGTAAAAAGTACGATATATTGCTAAAACTTCGTACATTATTTTATTGGGAAAAAGAAGATGAGTTCGTAGATGACCGTAATCGGACCACGGTCTATAAAGGGCCATAACTAAGCACTATTTTAAAATATATAACTATGGTTTGACACAAGGAATTGCAGTAGCCAGAGCTTCCTGTTGGCAAATAATTTTGAGAAGTGGGCATGACCTCACATATTTTTTATATCTCCAAAACTAGTAAAGCTACAAAAACTAAATTCACCGAGCGCAGATTTCAGAAAAACTTCTACCGACAGTGTGAAAATGGGTGAAATCAGACGATAACCCTGTCCTCTCCCCATGAATCGGTACTGTTAGAAACTACTTAAAATGAGACATTAAACTTTGTTGTCTTGATGGTATGAGAGTTTTCTGAAGTAGTAGCTGGAGCCAAAACTGGAACCTCTTACTTTTAGGCAAAATCACATATCTCAGGTACCACTCGCCCGATTTGAACCAAATTTGCTTGGTAATATTATTCTGATATTTCTACAATGTAAAGTGAAAATGGGCCAACCACCAAATTGTCGCGGAAATTGGGAGAATTTCACATGTATGGTTACACCCGAAATTAGGTAAAAGAAAAACTTACTTGAAACTAGTAAAGTTAAAGAGGTTATGTGTTAACTTGATTACTTAATTTAATTTGTGAATCTTTTGTTGATGTCGCAAATAATTCAAAACATAAATAATAAAGTTGTACTTTTTTAGAAAAATTATTCGTTAATTACAGCTGATTAGATATAAGATAAGAATTGTAGCTTTTTTAATTTATATATTATATATTATATTTATAATAATTGAACAAAAATATTTAAAGTTTTCTTTTGGTTTATGAATTACCCGAGCTTCATAATTTCTATTTTCAGTTATTCTAGACTTGTCTTGACTTGACTTTATTTATATTAGTTAACATTCATATTTAATTATATATAATTACTAGAGCATATTTTAATTAATGATACATACGTGTGAATGAAATTGATCCAGGTCTTGCTTTAGGGTTGGTAATTGCTGTTAATTAGACTAGTTCTCGTATGGATACTTTGAATACTAACAAGCATAAGTTAATATGATACTAACCTACTTTATATCAAATATACAATAGAAATTATTACTTGTTAAGGCACACCAACAACTTTATAAATCCATAAAGAATTGATAAAAATAAGTTAGCTATCGATACACAAGAAAGTCCTTTGGGCTAAGCAAACTCCCACACTTTGCTAACAACTGCAATCGTATATGTTTATATATACAAATATATACCTGTGTATGTATGGAAGGACTTGTTAAAGGCTATTGAGTTGGAACTAAACGCGGGAGAATGTTGTAAGTAAGCGGAGTAAAAGGAAGAGTGTCATCATGTGATTGCCAAAAGCCGGAAGCAGCATAACAATGCCAGCGACAACTGAGGCAGCGGCAGCGCCAACGGCGGCGGCGGCGACGACGCAGCTAATGCTGCCGAAAAAGGAAAAGCGAACTACTTACAAATATGTATATAAATATGTATATATTTATAAGTTTATAAACGAATACACCACTTTGTCGGACAGGAGAAGAAAAGGCGAAAGCAAAACACAAAACAAGTAAAGGAAAGCAAAATACTTAATGAACAAAGTTGGTAAGTAGTTCGAAGTAAAATCAAAGAGACTCACAGAAAAAAAAATAAGAAAAAGTGAAGAGAGTGAGAACAAGCGTAGCAAATTTTTACGGTAAGTTTTGGCATAATTGTAGTTTATTTGAAAGAGAGCATGTCATATGAACTTAAGAGCAATGGAAGTTGTGCTAAGAGCTTTTGTATTGCGTATTAGCTGAATCACGGCGAATTTGAACGGAGATGATGGAAAGTGAGTTGTACAGGATGCGTAATTTTAAGGAGGCAGAAAGAGTCACGATACAAAAAACATTTGCTTAAAATATAAAATAAAGCAATGACAAAAATTGTTGTTGCCTTCAAAAGTTATTCGCTTTGCTTATTAAATTTTTTGATATATTTTAAAACTTTCAATATTTTTTTATTGCTTGACGCTTTAGTAACAAAAAAGAAAAAACAAAAAACCTTTTATTTTATTTATTTTTTTTTTAACGAATTTCGTGCGAAAACTGATATTTTAGAGGAATATATTCTCTTTAAAAACTGTTTTTTGCTGCAGCATAAAGCCGAAAGCTCTGCAAAACAGCTGTGCGCCGTCGACACCCATACACACACAAGCATGCAGAATTATTTATAAATAGAAAATCTGCGAAAATTGGAATGTATTTATGAAGAGATGTGTGTATTTTGTACTCATGTCACTATACGACTGAATGGTCTGTTTATGCTTCGCACGAAAAGCGCTACGAACACACAAACACACTCAGACTATAGCATAAGTACATACATTAACATAAGCAGGAGCTTAAAGAGCGGACGACCTACCAAAAAGTAGGATAAAAGCTTTAACGAAGAAAGTCCTACAATCGTTAAATATAGTTAAACGTATGTGAGAGTACTTGAGAGTAGCTGGGTGAGAGAGCATACAACTGAGTTTCCACTGCCGATGTAAGAAACCCTCAGCAGCTAAATTTCATTAACAACTCTGCACGATGTCGAGTCCACTAATTGACTTCCTCGCTACTACGTTGACGTTTGAAGCGATTTGTCCAGCAAAGGCCACTCCATTTCAAGTTGAGTTGCTGAAATATGGTGCCGTGAGCGACTTTAACGCGTCCATGCTCTCATGCTCAATTAACGAGTTGCTTTCGGTCGGTTCGTTGGTGTGCGTATGTGTGCGAGAGTAGCGCCTGCACGATTGCTCCAGGCTTGCTGTGGCACAGCGCCGAGCGCGCACGAAGTAAGCGCGACAGCCGCCTCCTAAATGTATGCCACACGTACGCATACACTCGCGCATTGACGTTTGGCTTCCACTCGTGCTATGTGTTGCGCTGCACGGGCGTACACCAGGACTAGTCTACGGTGAATACTCGATGATAGCTGACCAGTGGCAACGGCTGTCAACGCACGACGTTAGTTTGACGCTTGAAAAGCGCATCATCAAACCGGTATTGATATTTTCAACGGCCCACAGTTTTGGTACAAATTGGTGAAAATAATGGAAAATTAAATTTTCGAAAATTACTTAAAAGCGCTTTTCAAAAGTGACTAAGTGCGGTTTGTGCTTGTATATGATGGCTTTCGAACGACAATATTGTCTGAAGCACGTTAAAGTTTTGTAGAAAACCCCCGTGCACGTGCAAATAAAATCCGCAGTAGAGTGGTGTGCTCAAACGTGAGTGTGTGTGTTTGTTAGCTGCGTATAAAGTTTGCGGCACATACAGCTCTATAATACCGAATTGCTATAATTCTGCGTGATAGTGCGTTAACGTTGTGAGTCGCGGCTTTAAAACGTTCTTACTTAATTTTTTCCTTTACATCCTGTACCCATCGCTCTTCCACAAATGGTGGACGTGTGCGGTATTCATGCGTTTCGTGCGTGTTACGTTGTTTGCTTTTGTTTTTGTAGCGATATCTGTTAGCATTAAAACGTCAAGAGCTGTGGCAGCAGTGCGACTTGAAAAATAAGCAAAAAGGCATAAACGCCAAAAGTATGCTATAGAAATATGAACACTGTTATTGCGAAAAACAAAAAGCGCGTTTTTGAAAAAGTATAATAAACAAGAAAAAAGCAACAACAATTACAACTTGACACCTTTTTGCGCACACATAAATCAAATAGTGCATCCGCTTGCGTGTCACGCGTGGCACGCTTACCAAAGCAACCTTCTACACAGTGCAGCGTGAAAAAAGTGCAGTTGTACGATTCGCATTCGCATTCACAATCACAATCGCATATTCGTGCTGCCGTTCCGGTTGCTGCAACACAAATAAAGCAAGTTCGCATTTATTATTCATAAAGTCAAATACTTGTGTGCAAAACAACAGCAGCAACACGCAGCGCGGTGTAACGGCGTGTAAAGCAGCGAGCAGCAGCAGCAGCAGCAGCAGCTATATGAATGTCTAAAACAAATAAACACAGCAAATAAAAACAAATAAAAAACGCACTTGAGTGCGAGTTTTGAGTGTCACGCCTGCGAGCATATTTCGTTTGCATACTTTTCAGCGTCCGGTCGGCTTTGTTGCCATACACACACCTATACCCATATATAAGTGTAAGTGTAGCATTGTGTAGGGAAACGCAGCGCGTTGTTAACCTAAATATGCACGACGAGCAAAAGGCGCAAAAAATCGCAAAAAATCGCTAGCATGAAACGGAAATAATGGCAGAAAGTCAAAAAGCTGTGCCACATAAAGTGTCATTGCCATTTGTGTTGTTGTGCGGCGCATAAGAAAGTTGTGTAATAGTAATTAATATAAATGTAAATGCCATAAATCACAGTGTGCTAAAAAAACTGCTAGAAGCTGGCAAAATTTCCCTTACAAATGTGTCCTGTTTGATTTGGAAAGCGTACGCTTGTGTTGCATATAGCATAGCATAGCATACAATATAATAAAAAATACATAAATTGTTATCTGTGTCAACGGAAGTGTGCGCAGTTAAATTTTAATATTTACTGCATAATAAATCAGCGCATTATACTTTGGTTGTGTTCGAATATGAATTAACAAAGAAATTATTTATCAGTGTCATGTAAAATACAAAAAAAAAAAGCTTAAAATTCTGGCAACAAGTAAGTGAAAATTTAATTTAAGTGCAAAGCACATGTTGTTTTAAGATTTACTATATCGAATTTTTATGAAACTTTTATTTTTTGTATCACACATGTGTTCGCCATATTCACTGCAAAGTCACTAATTACTTTGATAGATTCAATATTAATAACTGAGTTACAATATTCTTGGATTTTTGATTTCAGAACCTGTATTAATAAATTACTTATTTACTCGTAAACTTTTAAGAATTTTTCTAAACTATATTAGGTTAGGTTAAGTTAATCTGGTAAGCTACTAAGCCAAGCATAGAACAGGTTGGTCCTTTGCGAGTACCGATGCAGTTCAGTTGTTAAGTGCACAAAAGGTGCTCCATTCTTTTCCCGGCGCATTGCTCTAGACATTTCCTGCAGTCTTCTATATCTGTAAGCGCCAAACTGCGAGCGTGTGTTGCCACCAGACAACGACCAGTCAGTATTCCCATCATGTTCCAACAGTCTCATCTATCGAGGGCCAATAGAAATTTTGTGTAGTTCCGATCAACCACCCAGGTAGCTCCTTTCGTCGAGTTTTAATCTTTTTACCATGTTTTTGTCAAGATCGTCGTCTAACTCTGGCAGTATATGCCGCACCAACTCCCTCGTCCATTTTCGAGCCATCCGCATAAATGCCTAGAATGGTGTACCTCGCTAACACCTTATTTAACAGTTGAAAAGTGCATTTATGTTGTCGGTGTCGAGGTATACTATTTATTAATTTGTTACATCCTGAACAGGGTATATGCAATTTTTTTGTAGCACAAAAGCGGAAACATGAAAATATAATATAAACAGGAACTTCAAATAGTAGTAATATGATTTATTGAAAAAAAAAAAAAAAACTAATTGTTAAATAAATTCAAATGTATTTTACTTAGTGTGAACTGTATTCGATGCTATTAAGTTCAGAACATAAAATGACTTAAATGGTCTACACGACTTCTTTTTCAGAAAGGAGTCCGATGAACCCAATTTTCGCAAGCAATAATATAATGGCGTTGATTCACTTCTTTTTGAAATAATCAAATCTCCTAACTTTTATAATTCGGTTGTTGTACGTGCTGTGTAGCATGCAGCCTCGTCTTTTTGGAGCCAGATGTCTCCAAGATCAAATTCTTCCAATTGCAAACATAAAAAGTTGGTTCTCGTCGATCTATACCACTCTCCAATGACAGCAACGGTGCCACCAGCTTCATTTCGAAAAAGTATGGACCGAAAACGTTATCGCTTTCAAGTTGTTCCAAGACAAAATCAGCAAATTCACGATATTTACCTCGGTTCAATGGCTTCAGTTCTTAAGTAAGAATCATTTTATTTGGATACAAGCCCAAATCCTTTCGCGCAATCCGCCAGGTTGTTGTTTGAGACAGTCCCAATTCTTGAGTACGTCTTGGAATCATCAAATTGCGTACCTAAGTAACATTTGCTTCAATTGCAGCAATATTTTCATTACTTCGAAAGATCCTTTGCCTTATTGGCACTTGAACATTATGTAAAGAAAACGAACGTTCGAAATTTTCAACTATTCGACGAATAGCGCACAAAATGTTGCTATTGGAAAAATATTATTTTGATGATAGCTACGTATATCTTTCCATGATGACAAAGTCTACGTTACTAATTAAAAATAAATAAAAACTATACATCAAGGCCTTTTCAAAATGGTCGGAAAGACACTTAGAAATTCCTAATCGAAATCTAGGTATGTACATATATATAATATGATTAGAATGGTGAGATAAGACGTCTAGTCTGTCTAGTCGTTCGTCTGAATATTCGCTAATTTTAAAGATAGTTGCTCATTCATCGATATCTTATCACTATACTTTCATTGTATGAAAAATTTGGCAATAATTATAGCCCAAAACATCTTTACCACTACCGAAAAGGTTTCCAGATTCGATTCTATAGCAAGTTGCTATCAAAATGAAGTTCTAAAATGAAAAGATTTTTCTTGCTATATTACATTGCCCTGAAACTCAGTTCGAGATCTACTTGTAGCATTTAGTTTCTTGAAAAAATTGTTCAGGTCAGATCACTATAGCTTCCATACAAACGTAATGTTCAAACTAAAGTTCTTTGTATAGAAAATTATTTATTTGTGAAGCATATTTTAGCTTCGGTGCAACCGAAATTAATTTGTTTTATATTAAAATTTTGAACTTTTCTTTTAAATATTTTAGTATTTTTCTTTGCTCCTAAAAGTAGGAAAGTAGTGCCATCGTTTCTCTTTCGGAGCATATTGCAACTCGAAACAGACCGCTAAACTTTCTTTAAAATTTTAATTTTTTTATTTTCATTTTCATGGTATTAACGTACAGTTGGAAACATTGTCTACAGTCATGGTGTGATAATTGAGAGGCCGATCGTGATGACGCTCAAGAACCGCTAGATTCACACAATAATTAGCTAACAATTGGCGGGGTTATAGAAATATGTACGCATAAGTAAGACATTGAAATAACTGATTCGATAGAACCAGTTGAATCGAGAAATCAAAGGATAGTAGAAGATAGAATAGTTTCTAATGAAGAAAGTGTTTCAACTACAAAACGGGATATAAAAGGATATAAAGAAAATTTCCAAAATAACAAGCCAAATCATTCGAATGGACATGCGGGAGATGTCCAACTCTGTTACCATCTTTCTCACACTTGCATCATATCCTTCACTTGTAAATACAATATTTTCATCGGTTGATTAGGTTGGAAGTCGTTCAGAACGAGGTATGTTTTGTACCATTCATAGGTTTGTATTTTTGAAAAAATTTAATCAAAGTAAGCCTATTTCAATATTCGCAACGATTCTGTGGACGAGATGTGGTGTGAAATATAAAATTCTTATATGGAAAATTCTTTATTTGTGAATATTTAGGTAAGCGCAAAGGGATAGAGACTTATCCTTTGTTTAACTTTAGAAACTTATTTTTTAACTAACTTTAAAGGTACATAACAATTACTTTTATATAGGGCGACACGATTGGAAATATATAGTTAGTTATGTAGGATTATGTGCATGTTGAATACATGAAATAAACGCAGGTAGTTCTATAACAAAATATGTTAAATAATTTGGAAATATATTGCGGCACCTTCTGATATTTTTGATTTTTACAATAACGAGCTCTTCAGCAAAGGTCAATATTTCTTTGATTTTTTTTTTCCATTTTTGATCTCTACATCTTCGTTTAGGTATATAATATTTATTATTCGCTATAATTTTCATCACTCTTTTTGTTTTAAATGGAGTTCCTTGAACTAAGTCAAACATTCATATAAAGAACGACATTTAAAACAAAGTGTGATGAAAATTATTGAAATTAAAAAAAAGCAATCTCAAACTTATCCCAACGAGACCACCTACAACGAAATCTCAGTACACTATGCCTTCACGCTAGCATACACACGATATAAAATAACAGTAAAAGTGAAACAGGACGCAATAATTGCGATGAGTAGAACTCCATTAGCATTGAATGAGTGGCTGTGGAGCGCCGTCAACGGGAGCGAAAGTCAAGTTATGCAAAGGCCAGACAATGTCGCGCTCCTTTATAAATTTCACACTTTGCAAAGTCACGAACCATTGACGCAAAACACACTGACACACCGACACAGACACATACATGCTTAGAGACGTTCGCACTTGATAGTAGAAATGTGGAATGAAGTGTTTGTCAAATAAAAGTCAGCACGGCGATGGCGGCGGCGTCACAACAGCGACAAAGTGCCACTGACAAACAGACAATGCTCGAAATGGAGAGAAAGGCAAAGACAAAGCCAAAAGCCCAAGCAGGCATATGCTCACACTACACACCGTGTATCCGTATATAGTGAAAAGGCAGCCACTTTTTGTGTCACAAGAACAATGCGAATTTCATTATCGCCCGAGTCAGTGTTAACACTGTTGTCGGCGACGCTGCTGTTGACCTTTAATGTTGGGCGACAAATGCTGATATTGTTGTTACTGTTGCTGCTGTGGTACCATAGATGCCTCCTGCCACGTTGCGGCACCTCGCCTCACGCGCAACGGCGACAACTTGAAGTGGAAGCTACACAAGAGTTATTGCATTTGTGTGTATGTGCGTGATTTGGTGGCCATATTGCCCGCAGAGCGTGAAGTAGTTGAGTAGAGGAAGTTCAGTCAAAAGTCAGGCATCAAAGTCGCGCGTCTGACATGCGGCTGATGACGTGCTTGACACTGTTGGCGCTGTTATTGCCGAGTCATTAGTATGCCATAAAACACACATATTCCAGCAACACACACACACACACACATACACGTTCGCAAACTATGCCGTTTTGCCTGCTCAACTGATTTTAGAACGGGAATAGTGTCAGCGATGCGTGGTGATATTATTCGGTTGGTTGTTTGGCAACGCCATTCATGTATGCCATGGCGGATGAGTGCTCGCCCACACACTACTTGTTTTGGCAATTTACATACTCGTACGCCAAGCGCAAACTAGCGCTTGTTTAGTAAACAAACTATTTTTCAGACAATAGTCCGTTGTGCTGGCAACAACAAGATGGGCGCCACACACACTCACTCACACTTGTATACATGTATCTGTGCTGATATGCTGCTGGTGGCCGTACTTGCTACTTTCGCTGTTGCCTTCACTGCGTTTGTTGTTGTTGTTGTTCTTGCGTTTTTGTTCAGACACTTTTATGAAGTTGCAGCATGCGAAGTTGCATCCAACAAGCGCATAAATAGCGCAAAAGCGCATAACCTACTTGCTCGTTTGCATGCGTAAAAATATGCTTGCAGCAATTAAACAGACATTTTCAGAACTCGCATGCGAAAGGCGCAGCCGGCAACTTGTGCTGGCGGAAAATAAACTTACGGAATTTATTTCGCATAATGCTGGCATGCGAAAGTGCGCAAGTTTAAGAGATATGCTCCGATTGCTGCAACTTAATCTGTGACATTTCTGAAATAAGTAGTGAAAGTGAGTTGTCTGGCATGCCCATATAGTTATGCAG